CTCAAAAACCCGCAATCTGAGCAGGAAGGTCGGGGGGGGGAGGAGGGAGAAAGCGGAGAAAGGCAGGCGGGGGGGCAGGAGGTTGGGGCGTTCTACAGGTTGGGGGTTCAAAAGGTCCAAAGCTCCAAAACTAGTTCGACAATTAAATGCCTCAATGCACATTGCAAGTTTTCGGTGTGCCCTTTCACATGAATCGTAGGCTTCGTTTGGCTTAATGATGGTTGTTTGCTCCCTGTTGGTGTTAAAAGGGCTACGTCACAGTGGAATCATTCTACGTTTCCAGGGGGCTTAGGTAATTAATGAGGTTCCAACAACGTGTACCTTGTTTATGAGTTGCGACTGTTCAATCGCCACCAGTGCATGCCTTGCCTGTCAATAGTGAATTGAAAATCCAAGATTCGATGCTTTGAACGATTGCTACCAAACCACCCACATCTTAACGGCTATTGGGTTGGATCTTTAGACTTCAACTGCTTGGGGAAATCAAGGGTTTTCCACTAAACCCCCAAAAAGTTAAACTTTTTGCAGGGGAGTCAACAGCACCCAAGTCATTGACAATGATGTAGTCAGCCGGACAAGGACCGAAGTGCACGCCTTGAGAACTCTCTTCTGTTGTCTTGCATGGTACTTTGGAGGGTTGTAGTAGGAGGCAGAAATCAGTGCAGCAGCACTTTGCAGCAGGGTCCTTCATTAGCCATCAAAGGCTGGAAATCGAAAGCTTGGTGAGAATGCAGCACCTGTGATTGCAAGTCAGTTTGGATCAGCGAGTCTTTGGAGCATTTCGCAGCACCTCTCAGGTGAACCCCTTTGCGGCACCATTTTTATGGGCAGGACTCCATCTTTGCAGGCAAGATTGGATCATGCTGACCCAGGACTAATGGCCCCCCAGTTGATCAACTGGGGGCGTCCCAAACTAGCTTTGCAGTTCGGCTTTCCTGGAAGTCTGCCATGCTGTGGATAGACAAAATCCTGCACCACCTGAGAAACCCTGGAATGATTCGATTCCCCTCTAAATGCCAAACAAAGCATGGTTTACTTGGTTTAATTACGGATTTCGTCCATCCACTGTATTTTATGTGGAGCATTCGCAGCCTTGCCATTTCAGGTGAAGGATGGCAAGGAAAAGCGCATCGACCCGGCAGCACCTTGCTAGCAGATAAATCTATAGCCACTTCCTCAACCCCTGCGTAATGTGTGAAAGAGGCGGTCGTAACCTCGAACAACCTCGAATAAGGGGCCCTCCAACCCTAACATGAGGTGCTAAGGAATTGAACAACATCATTATTCCATGATCATGCCCTTCTTAGCTTAGATAGCTTCTGATTTATGACATGTCCAGCCTATTTCAAACTTGTTATGGCCCTCATAGCGTGCATGTGCCCAGAATGTGGGTGCAATTGAAATGCCGTTGGTGGCCTCCTTTTGCGTGCAAGTGGCATGTTTTTGTTTGCTTCCGAAACAATTCGTACAAACAAACAGGTAAGACAAAGCAAACAAACAAACAAGCAACAATCAACCAATGAAAATGCAATCACACCAACAAATAGCCAGATAGGACGAGCCAACAAACAAGCTTGCTGAAGCTGGGTTTCCCATAGCCAAAGGAGCTCCCATTGCCACTGAGTTCTTTGATCTTGGGGTCCGATCCGGATAAGTGTTGTACCAATTTGTCGGGTTATCACTTGCCCGTTTTCAGACTTCAGTCACTTTTTGGGTGGGACCGTTTTGGCGGCAAACAACAAGCTCAGACTTGCTTTGGCCAATCCACTTAGCAAGAGAGGGTTTCAAAGTAGTTTTCAGAGAGGAGCTGGCAGCTCTGAATGCTTTCTACCGGTGGAAGGGCCTCGGATAACTGCCCATGTAGGCAACCATACGGAACCTTCATGGGGCGCTCATGTTCGAAGGTGAGTGTGAGCTAACCCTTGAGTTGGTAGTCTGGATTGGGTGTTCGGAGATTTGAACCCCTGGTAGAGGGCAAATGGGAACCCCCACCCCTGACCAAGCACAGGGAAGCCGATAGAAGTGTGGGTATTCGGAGAAGTTGCACGACCTGGGAATCCATTGTCTCAGGTTTGTCTAAATGTTTGCCTCTCAACCTTTGATGTTTTTTACTCTCCCACCAATTAACATAGAACCCGACGCGGGGGGTGGGGGGGCGGTCTCAAAAGCAAGTTTCCTTTCAAAGGGACCGGGTACTTGTCAGGTTTCATGTGAATTGGTGGGAGGGTGATGCCACAACCTAGCCCCTTGACAAGCAAGCCATGGTGTGAATTTGAAAGCGCGGCCTTCGCCCGCAAAGGTCTATGGCCACCGCTTTTTACTGCCCTCGTTTGGGTCTTGAAGTAGGCAGTTGGTGGCAACCAAGGTTTTGTGGCTGGGGGTTGTTGTTTGCCGCGCGCGACAACTTGTTGGAGTTATGCCGCGCCCACATGCACATTGGCCAAGGGTTCTTTCTTGGCCGTCGATGTTAGTGACTTTGTTTATGAGTTGTTCCTCCGTGACAATCTGTGGACCTTTTTCGAGGTTGAGGACCTGCCTCGAGGTTCATGTTGTTGTTTGTTTTTTTTTTTTTTTTTTAACATATATATATATACATATAAGAGTCCCCCCTTTCTGAGAGCTTTGTTTTCTCCTCAGAAAAGCCAAACGACCAACCTTTGAAGGAGTTTCCCTATGTGTACTTGAGCAAGGGGTTTCCCTATGTCCCCATATGTCCCCTATGTTCGCATAATCCCACAATGCATTTCTATGTTCACATAAACCCACTTTAGGTCTGTAGGAGTCACCGGCATTGAGGACGGGCGCGCCTACACCTTTGACCAGATGGCTCGCTACTACCGAGGAGAGTGCGCGAGCCTTTTAATGGGACCAGCCCAGAGCTTCTGTCAGATCAGAAGGTTTGGAGGGGCTTCCCTGCGAAATCTACGAAGTACCAAAGGAGGCACCCTTGTTCCCATGCGTTTCCCGTTGAGATTTAGTAGCTATGTAACAAATGACAAAGTATACCCAGAAATTAAGGATGCATTGTTCGATTGGCAGGTCACACCTCTCCTCTTGACCTGTTTTTCTGACCAAGATCCAGTTCAGCGACACCCAGCGTTCCTTTTGGTAGATTCAACGCACTTTAGATGGGCTTCCCTTGTTCTTTGGCAGGGTCACTAGGCAGATGAGACCCAATCAAGAGACCAACAGCTAAGGCAGGGCCAGAGAGAAAAACATTTTTCTGCCGCTGGGCCCTTTGTCGGCGTCTTTGTGGGAGCCACTTTGATGGATCCGTTGTTTTTTTGTTCTTTCCTGGCTTGTTTTTCCTTTTTTTCTTTTAACTATGGAGGTTTCCTAGTACACAAGAAGAAAACACAAAAACAATTACCTCACTTTTATTTCAAGCTCTGCAGGGAGCGTCGACGCAGGATCTGTTTTGAGGTTAGACACAACAAGCAGTGGCTGCCTGACGCTTTTTCGGCCCTCGCTCGGGAACGGGCGGTTGAACCACCGCCGATTGGCCGAGGTGAACTCATGTTACATGATGTTTGTTCGTTTCGGTGGCCAGTTCCTACCTGGAGACATCAAAGGCAGCTCCTGCATTTCAAGGGAAAATACCTGGACCACCGAAGTTCGGGGACAGGATCGCCGGCAGGAGTCTACAACAAGCGTGACATCCAGCGCTACTGGGAGAAGACGTGCAAGCCTTCCTGAGAGAGCTGGGCCAGTGAAGCGAATCGTCCCGAAACGACCTTCTGGGGAAACCCCTTTTTCCCTTGTTTGGTCCACATTTAATACAGATCCCAAAAAGTTGACCTTTTGCTGCTGGATCCTTTGGGCAACTGAGCATCCTGTGGGAAGGTTGCCGGATTGTTGAACGCTTGTTTTGGCTGAGTTTGGCAGCTTTCAGGAGTAGTCCCACGGAGAAATTACGACCCCCAGTTGCTTGCTTTAGCTTTTCCACCCAGGCCTCCGGGAAACTTTTAGGCGGATGCCTTTGAACAGAGCACCAGATGCTCAGATGCTAACGAGTTGCTCGGGCCGGCGCGCGATGAAGGGTCGAGATCTTTCAGCTTCAGCCCAGTGTCGTCTGGGGTAGACTTAGGATACATTTTGACAAAGCCCAAGTGACTTGAGCTTTTGAGATGTAGGCAGTTGCCATGGTTGAGTTAGACATTTTACATGCTACCAGTGACTCAAAGTGAAGCAAACAATAAAATATACATTCTATAACTGGGCCTAACTCTAATCATGTCGCGTTCATTCAAAGTCAGCGTGACCTGACCTTCATCTAGCCCAGCCGCGAAGCCGCGAAGCCACGAAGCCGCAGAATGCAAAGCTGCAGACGGCCCTAAATGGCCGGGTGCCTTGCAAGGATGCGACGCCAACCTGGGACCAGTTGAGCTGCCATGTTGCTTGGTCTTTGGTTTATATATATATATATATTTGTGTATGTATATGTCTGAATCAACATCAGCTGAAGCCTTGTCAGCTTCTACGCAATGAGGTCCACAGCGTTTGACCAGCTTCGAACCTTGCGCATTCAGCTGCCCAGCCTTCGATTCAAAAAGCTCGCGCGCTTTCAGCTGCCTTTGAGTGGCTGCACCCAGTATGCCTTCGAGTGGCACGACGGATTACAGTGCAATGTTGCTGTTGCTGGTTTTGTCCCAGGTTGTTTCAGAAGCTGGTGTATTTCACGTAAACTTCATTCTGTCCATCGAGCAAAGGGTCAGAGAAAGTCGTGTTTCGCCTGAGGCTTGGCATCATATCTTATGGGCAGCTGCCCTTTGCCAAGAGTATGCTGGCTGTTTTCTAGGGGTAGCTTCCCCATTCTTTCCAGATCCGAATCTTTCCAGAAAACCACCAAAAAAACCCGGGGAAACATCAATCGGTTTTTGAAAAGAACGATGGTTGAAAAGAATGAGCAAGGAATCAACCCTATATATTTTTTTTCGTCCTGGCCGGCTTTGTGTCACACGTTCTTTTTGGCGTGGTCTTCTCAGAAACTCCCGCGAGAGGCATGGAGGCTGAGGGCATGGACGTGTGCCCAGAGGCAGTGGAGGCGGCAAGAGGGTCACTGTGGATGGAGAAAATCCAGGCTCGTCACGTGCAATGGAGGAAGCCCTATACTTGATGGCTATTTGGTAGATCTTAGTCGTTGGGCTTTCAATTGTTGGTTGATGTTGGTTGCAAGTTTGTGGCTATTCCGAAGGAGAGCCGCAAACAGTAGTCGACTTTTGCGGAGGGGTCAACAGCAACCTAAGGATAAAGACTGGGATCAACCACATACCTGGTGCCGATCGGCGATTTTGCCCAAGAGTTCCCATTGCGGGCGGTGGCTTGGGTTCCTTTTTCTGTTTGGGCGGTTTCTTTTTGAGCACAAGAACCCTAGGGCCTCCAAAAGTAGGCAGGCCTAGGCCGCACTAAGAGAGGTCTAGTACGTTCAGGCAATATGACAAGTGCGAGGCGAGGGCTACTCGTGACTATGTGCCATTGCCGCGGGCTAGAAGCGGCCCTTTCAAATGGCATCCTTGCGATTGAATCAGCCAAATCCATGAGCCTCAAAGTGCCTTGAGCGCGCCCTTTTCGGGACTTCTGCTTGAAAGGGAGAAACCATGAAGCCTCGAGTCGAATCCATATGACGCCCAGAAACTCATATAAATAGATGTAACCACGCCTTTGGAATGGTGTATTCATCATGGCTGGCTTGATTATGGGAATCCACTCTGAAAAAAGGGTTCAACATGGCTATGGGTTTATATGTGGATATGAGCTCTGGGCAGTCAACCTTCAAACGATTCCTGAGCACACACACACACACACACATGAGATTGCAAATTATTCCTAAGGTCATTCACAGCCGCTCAGCCAGACACCTTTGCATGAATGGGCAGTTGACAGTCAAGCACATTTTCGGGGGGGGGTCAAGCCTAGTGCCGACCTTTAACTGTACGGTCCATCGTGCATTTTGGGACAGCGGGCGGCATCAGTGCTTCAGGTGATGCGTTTGCGAGGTGTCACGGCACATCAAGGACCGGGGTACATGGGGCCAGGTCGCGTCCAGACTACTGTACCTACTGGTGACCCCAGCAAGAGACGCTACTGTTACCAGCCTCCAAGAGCATGCCTCAAGTGCGTGGAGGAAGCTTCTGGAAGATCCAGGGCCGCTACGACTCGCTGCTTCTGCTCATGAACACGGCGGGCCTAGGTCTCAGAGCGTTGGCTGGACGGATTGCAAGGAGAGGGCAGTCGAGGTGTCCAATCAATCAGCTGAGAGAGCTCAGGTTGGTTTGTCTGTCTTTGCCCTGACAGCTAGGTCCCGCAGCAGTGCCCTTTTACCCTTTTTCGGGGGAGGGTTCCCCTACTAAAATAGATTACAGAGAAAAGAAACGGTACCAACTTATTCTAGCCTCTCTACTGGAGGACCTAGACAGTTTTTGGTTTAAGACTTTAGTTGGACGCCGCAAGTGAGGTGTGAAGGAGAATCCAGGGTAAGAGGCAAGTCCTTGGAGGGCAGTTCCAGGCAATGGGACCCCAGATGGATGGTTTACTTGGGCAACCATCAAGCCTCCGCAGAAGGGGTTCCTGGGTTTTTCAGCCAACTCCTGTTATATATGGGGGCTGTTGCGCTTGCACCACGCAGGAAATCAACAGTTTGGCCAACATCCCTGCCACCAAACTACGTCGCGATCTCTCAGATTTGCTTTCTTTCGGCCTTCGAATGCAGAAGTTGCGCAGGACATTCCGCAGGACACACCACCCAACTGGGCAAAAAACTCATGTGCCTTTGCTCGCCGGAAGTCTCTGGCGCTGGTTCCCACTTAGATTTCGTGTTTGTCGCAAGGCCTCCGTGCTGCAGGCTGTTTGGTAACACGCTGGGGTTGAGCAATTTTCCTTTGCGCCCCCAACATGGCTCCTTAAAAGAAAATGTAATTTTGCCTGCCCATTTGAAACATGTGGTTTTTTCAACACCCCAATAAAGTTGGAAACCACCATTTACAAGCTGCAATGTTCAGGTGAATAATGTAAGGATCCCTGCCCAAATGGACCGTATCAGGTTTTTGTGGTTTCCCCAAATGGTCATCCCATGTAAAGGACCGTTTGATCAACCATGACGTGTTTGCAAGCAAGTGTTGCTTGGTTCAGCACGCCCCAGTCAGGCGTTAAGTGGCCAGTGGAGCGTCTATCGGATGCAGATGTCGGAACTCAGTGAGGGAGTGGCGCACTGATTCAGCGCAGCCTGTCCGCAGGTCAGTTTGTTTGAACATCTGCACTTCCACTCCCTAGCACGCAACCTCACTGAGGGGGGTCCCTTGGGACCATGTTCAATTTGCATGTTCCTCTAAAAGGGCCTTGGTGGTGGGAGGGTAGTGATTACCAGCGTCAAAATTGCCAATCTGCTTGTCCCGGAGGGCGCTTGCCTCATCCTGAGGTGCCAGCGGCAGCATGCTTCGCCGGGGAAGCCCAGTCTGGAGCATTGTCGCGGCCGGAGAGGAAGAAAAAAAACGCGAAATGCCAAAGAAAAGCACTGTGTGCGTTCCGGGCGCTATGATTCCAAGCCATGGGTTCTCCCAAGGGTTGAACCCAGACCAAACCTCCTATTTCTGCTTCCAAAAGCAAGTTTACTTTCAACTGGCAAGAGGCGATCTTGAACCCCCCCCCCAAAGAAAAGCAAAAAGCAAAACATAATTATAAATTGGGGGGACCTCCCCCATTTTGTGGGGACATCTTGGACTCATACCAGGAGTGCCTTAAGGCCAAGCCGTCTTCGCTTCAAAGTATCCCCTTTCGCCCCGGCGCTCGCTCGCTCCAAAGCGCCTGAGGCTTGGAGCAGCTGCTGCGGCAGCTGCGAAGCCACCTGACGCCCCAGGGCCAAGTCTTGCTGGACCTGCCGCGGGCCCCAGCTTGAGTTGTCGATGCGAATCGCATCCCGACCGAAGGCAGCAGAAGGCAGCAGAAGGGGACCAGGCATAGGTGTCTTTTTTGGTTGTTTTGGCGGAAAAATAGATGGCGATTCCTAGTTTACGTGGTTTCTTCTCATCTACCAGGGAAATCCATCTATTTCCCCTAAAAGGACACCTATGAGACCAGGTTTGGCAGCGATTTTCCCCGACCGGGCGGCTTTCAAAAGCCCGGGGGATGAAGAAAAGAACAGCGAGGTGTCTGGTGCCATGTGTCTGGGTCACTGCTGAATAACGGATTTTGTGGGTTGGGGCATGGGCTGGCGTAGTTTTGGTTTGGTGGAGTTGCCTGGGAACGATGGTGTCCCACTCGATCTTTAGCGGCAAGTTGAGGGGGTATGAGGGAAGATTGCACCTTTGGCCCAGCCTGGACCACGAAGTCGGAACAACCAACAGTCACCTCCGTTTTGGCTTGGATTCGGTTTTGCGATGAATGGCTGACATGTCATCATCCATTGGCGGTAGGAGGGACAGCTGACTTATATACGACCCCGCCAGGAAAACATCATCAAACTGTCTTGGAGTTTCATATGCAGTTGCGCATGTTTGGTTTGCCTGGTTCATTGATTCATCGCTTCCAGGATCGATGCAATTGCGCATTCGGTGTGACAATTTACTTGACCAAGCATCCCTTTTTTTGCGAGAGACTTCCAGTTGGTCACCGGCTTAGGATAGTAAAGCACGAACCCGCCCACGGAAGACCACCAAACCACCGGGCTCCACCGGTGCGTGGGAAGCTGACCAGGAATTCCTTGGCGGATTTCTAGGCCCCGGGGTTCAAACCATGAAGACAAATGGGGTTTCAGATGACCACCATGGTTTAATCCTAAGGACTAAACAATGGTGGTTACATGACGTAAGGATTGTCACAGGGTTGGGTTCCAGGACATTCTACAGGACAACCGCAATTTTTTGGGGTGTTTCGGGGCCAAGTTTCCTGCAGATCTTCCTGTAACCAAGCCCTTTGAGATTGTCATTCTTCAAATTTGGTCAACCTTTCTTTCATGGGGGTTCACTTTTGGAGGGGAACACCTCACGACGGGTGCTGCTTGAGAAGCGGCTCAGGTCTCCGCCGGATTGGGCGGCCATACACCGGGCACGGCGCCTGGGGAGGCGCGGCATGGCGGGGCATGGCGGGGCATGGCGGGGCATGCGCGAGCCAGCGGGCCGTTCTCCGGAGCCCGGCACGCGTGTTTGGGGTTTTTTGGGACCTCCACCCGGCACACTAGTGGACTCACTCTACAGTGTTTGTCTTGGTGGTGGTGTAGTGAAAGCCCAGGAAGCGCCCACCATCTTTCTGCTTGGTCACTGGCCAAGTGAGTTTACCATATCTTTCTCCATCTTTATCCTTGCGGTTGCGCTCACAATTCGAGTCGGTCGGGGGTCGCAAAACGCGGCGTCACCCTTGCGAATCGCGGGGAAATGGGCCACTTAGGTTGCCGGCGGATCGCGGATCCGAAAGTTCCATCTGCCAATTTTGACCGGATCTCAAGACCGGCCACCTGGAAGAGCCACCGATGTCCAATGCTGGGGTCGCCCTGCGCCAAAACCTGGCGATCCATACGCACTCAAAAGGAGGCTGGGGATTGGGACGAGGCTTGGGGCTGGGTGGAAGGAACACCCAGAACTCACTGGCACCTGTCAACCATGGCAAAAAAGGCGAATGCACCTGACATGACCTTTTGGTCTCCCCCTTTTCCGGCACCCATTTTTTGGATTCCACGGGGTCCACCTTTGATTCAAGGCGCAGAGGAAAGGAACACCACCCATAGACCCCCACCATTGCAATTGGACGATCAGGCTGCCGGCGGAGAGTTGCCTCGATGGGCACTGGGCGGAGCTGACGTGCTGGCTCAGCGTCTGGGCAGCGAAGGGGTGTTCAACGAGTTCTCTGGTGGGGGTGATGTTCCTGAGCAGAGAAATGTGGCAGGGGGGAGGGGGGGGGAGGGGTTTGTTGTTTGTTTAGTGGGGGTGGTGTTTCGGAGCGAAAATAAGATATGGGGGCAAACACAAGTTTTGAGGGTCTCATAGTTTGAGACAGAGCCATAACCCTGATCCAAGCCCGTGGTAAGTTGGCTGGATGGTTGGATGAGCAAATGGGGTTTGGTCTGGGCCAAGCTATTCGGGTCTTTCTCGAAAGAGTTTTGCATGCCTTATCGAGGCGCACGTCAACCAAGAAAACCGTACTCCCTGAGTTCATGAACTTTAGTCATTTCTCTGTTTTTACGCCATTTGAGTGGACAACAATGTAACAAGTTGTTGGGAAGACTTGTTTGTGCCATCGTGCTTGAAGGTGAGTTAACAACCTCAAGTACCCCTTAACTTGTTTGGATTGTAGGATGTGAAGCCCCGGTTCTTGTTGGGCAATCACCTATTCTCAGCCACCAAACCACCGGGGAGCCGGGCTCGCAGCTGGGGTCCTCCAAAAAATTGCTTCAAGAGGGAACCGCTAGCGATCGGAGCTAGCGATGGGAGTCCTGGGCTGATCAAAATCCCTTGGTGATCTCGCTGCACTCCCTCAGGCTAACATGGCAGCTTTCAGAAGGGCCCTGTATACGGAACCCAGTCTGAGTCTTCCAAAGGGGTCCTGGGAGCTTCCATGTTAGTCCGGGGGAGGGTATTTTAGCCTAGAAGGGCCTGGCAACTCGGACAAGGGGCTTTGAGTGGGGGCTTCTCAGACCACGGGCTGCTGGGACTGGTTGCCATCGGATTTGATCGGAGACTTAAAAATATTAAAAAAACCCGATTGACTTCAAACCCCCAATTCGCTGGTGCTTGGAAGGGAGCTGGAAACAAACATGGTGGTTGTTGGGGGTGCCACATTTTGCATGCCACTTAACTGCTAACATTTAAAAAAAAATGCTCCCCAAACCCAACGTCCACAAAGCAAAGAGGGAGCCTTTCGCAAGTTTCCTCTCACAGAGTCGAGAGCTGCCGATGGGAGTCATGAAGGTCCTTGGGGAGCGAGTTCTCAAATCAGCTGTTGGATTTGTTTCAGCAATTTAAGAACAGGTAGCGGTAAACCATCCTAGGTCCCCCAGTAGTGCCCTTTTACCTTTTTAGGGGGGAAAGTTCCCCTACTAAGATAGACTACAGAAACAAAAAAAAGGATACCCTTGTTCTAACCTCTCTACTGGAGGACTTAGCAGCGGTTGAACTTTGAATCTCCCTATTTTAGATTTGCGGACCGTTTTTTTTGAAGGGGACCCCGTTTCCGTCGAAGGGTTCCATGTGAATTGGTGGGAGGGTTCCATGTTCCAAATGTTGTTTGAGGTTATAGAAAATGAGGCCGGATTACGCTGTGCGATGGTAAGTTGAGCTTGCTCCCTTTGGCATGGGCGGAGGATTCCTCGATGCTAGAGAAAGTAAGAAACAGTTATAGAAAGTTTGCAGGCACCAACTTTTTTGGGAGAGCGTTCCCCTACTAAAATAGATTACAGAAAGAAGTTGGTACCAACTTATTCTAACCTCTCTACTGGAGGACCTGGACAAAAATGCAGTCCAACAGAAGCAACTCACTGGAGCTTCAGAAGCAAGCCAAAAAAAGACCGTATTCCCCATTCCGTGATGTATTTGGTGGGTAATGAAGAACCCGGACCCCTTTTGGGGGCCCTTGAAACAACCCATGTTGAGGGCCCAAAAAGCATCGAATTGGAGCCTTAGGGCATATAAAATCTGCGGGCATTTTGTTGAAGAGGCCGACTTCTCTTTCAAAAAAGGTCCGAAAAAGGTCGACTTCCCAGGCAGGGAATCATGGAAAGAAGGTCGACTTCTGAGGTTTGGGCCAGCTCCAGGGCCACAGCTTCCCCATGCTCTTCGCGGAAGTTCCGGCGGTGGTCCGTGCCGCGGAGGCAGCAGGCGACCTGGGCGAGGGGCGAGGGGCGAGGGGCGAGCGGTGGGTTACCCCGTTACTGGCGGTGTTCGGCCAGGTGGTTAGACTTGACTGCCATTGGGGAACGGATCTTTAGACTGTAAATATGTTTGGTTGAAATCAAGTTTGTTTTTTTGTTTGTGTATTAACCCCCCCGACAAGTTAAACTGTTTGCAGGGGGGTCAGCAACCAAGTTCGAATTCTGGGTATAGCATTTATAGCCAGGCTAACTGCACTTGGGGGGCTTGCAAGCTGGTTATAACCTAAGTTTCCAACAACTTGCTAACTCGGCTGAACACCCCAGTTGGCTGGGTTTTGTTGAAGCCACCCCATGTTTTTGAATAGCGTTTCAGATGTTTTGACTTCGGCTGGTCCACATCGCCTGGGTCGCCGATTTTCTGGATTCGCCAGGCTACAAAGCTGAGATCGCGTTTCAGGCTAAGAACCGGCACGCCTTGCTTCAGCTCAGGCGGGGCTGTGGGGGCATCCGAAGTTTTTTTTTCTTTTCTTGAGGCTTCAAAATTCTGTACCCTCCATTGCTTGCTGGTGCGATAGGCAGGCCATGAGAATTGGAATAACCCGAGAAAAACCATCCAACAGGTGGTTTCCTTTAACTGGGTCGCCGGGTTCATTCCTCATTCCCTGCTCAGCACCAGCAAGATTGTGGCTTCAAGGGATGAAGGAAGGCCTTAAGCGACTATATAACCGGGTCTCAGTTCCAAATCAGGTGTTTGCGTCGGTTTTGGGTAGGCCCCTATCGAATAACTGTTGAAGTATTGCCAGCTGTTCATGTGGATGATGGCGAATCGCGAACTGTATTCCCAAGGGCTTTGAACGTTGCTACGAGGGGCCTGTTGGAAAACTGGCGACGCCTTTGTTCAAAGCAAGCCAGCATGTGATTCACCCTTAGGGGGGAGTCCTTTCAGGTAAAATGGCTGTGGGTCAAAACCAATGGTACCATTTTGGGGTAGGTGCACCACCCATTTTAGTCTATTTTAGTGGGGATTGGGATGTTCATTGGGGGTACGGGATTTTGACCCATGGCCAAACAATTGGCGGCATTTCTGCCAGCCCCCTTCACACATGCACGCCTCATCCGCTGTGCGAGGGTGGCCGGGGATTCCGCAAAGGAGGCCAAAGGAGACGGGGGGGGGCTGTGAAGATTGTCACCCCCGGAAGGGCTGCTATAGTGCAATGGCATGCACATATATGGGGTCTTCTTGGTTGCGCATTCTTTGGTGCATCTTGCCAAGGGATGTTAGGACTTTAACCTTTTTGCCAACTCATGAATTGGTGTTCCGTATTAAAGCCCTAAAAGTTGGTCAACTTTTAGCAGGGGAGCAGAGTTTGCAACCCATTGTTGGCGTGCTTTCAGGCGGGCGATCGATGTTTTGCCAAGAGCAAACCGAGCAATCGGATCGATCCCACATAGGTCTCCAAGCAGCCAGTTTTCGATGAGACCAGAATTCAGCAATCGCCCAGCTTGGTCTCCTCTTTTGGTTGTGCTAGTTGAAGCAGGACCTGCGGCCGGAAAATGCAGAGCTGCGAGGCTGTCAGGCAATACTGTGGATGGCCGAAATCCTGCACCTGGACCCTCCAACTACCCATAAAAATGGGATATCACCCCATAATTTTGGGGGTCAAACCCACTTCAGGCACCAGATTGAATCTGCAGGATTTCGTCCATCGTACCTTTCACCCAAGCTCATTCTCAGGGACTCGTGATTACAGGCAGATCCTGAACATCTTGGCTGGGGGTCACGCTCGTTGCTGTAGGTCAGCCTTAGGGCATGAGTGATGTTGGCCGTCTTCCGAGTGCTTTCGGGTGCCATGTGCCTCATATAGAACACGACCGGTCAATGCAGAGGAGGTTTTCAACATCTAGAGACGGAGGAAGGATGTCGAGCAAGATTAGTTGATTTTGCCACGCCATGTTAGCTGTGACTCCCTGCCTTTGGCAAAAGCATTGGTCATCGACCTGGCCAAAACCTTCCGCGCTTGGCAATGCCTGCCAGGAGCCTCCCGAAAAGAAGGTCGCGCGCTTTCCACGAGAAAAAAGGCAGGCGCCGGAGCAGCGGCGGCTGCCACGTTTGCACTCGCCTTTGGGTTTGCACATGGCTTAGGTCCCAGGTTCGGGTTCCCCTGGGTGGCTCATGTTGTGCCTATGCGCAGGCACCGGCTCAAGCCCAAAGTGTCAGCCTTTCTCTCAGCATGTCATCCATGGAGAGCCTTTGCGTGTTAGGACATACAGCCGCCACAAGCATTTGGGGTCTGGATTCCCTTCCGGCTGCAGGGTTTGTTGATCTTGAATTTGTTTGCCCCAAGAGCAGCTCGGCTCGCGCGGCGAAGAGCGCGCGCGGCGGAGGGCTCGACGCGATGGGGCAGAGTGTGGGATGCAGCTTGGACGACCTGCCCTGCTGTGCCAAGAACACCAGCTCCTCGGATGCAAATGGGACACCAGGGTTCCAGCAGGGTTCCACCAGGGTTCCACGAGGTTCTGCGAGGGCTGCGGGGTGGTGCGAGCATTAAAAAGAGCACCGCATGCTGTCGGGGATATCACCTGAGTTTTTTTCCTTTTTTTCTCTTGGTTGGGGGGGGGGGGTACTAGGGGTACCTGTTTTTCCGGTTGCCCTTCATTGGTGGTTTGGATTGGTGGCTTGTCTGAAGCCCTGGTTCGATGGTTCGACTGGCCTCCAGCACGCGCAGCTTGCGTTTGATGCCTTCTGAATTCCGGCGAAAAATGAGCGTCAAGAGAGTGTCAGAAGAGAGCGACATCGCTGGAATCCGTTGGGGCATCTCAACTTTTTAGTGCATTTTGCCAAGGGATGTCAGGACTTTGACTTTTTGCCAACTCATGAATTGGTTTTCCGAGTTGAACCACAAAAAGTTAGTCACTCTTAGCAGGGGAGTAGAGTTTGCAAGCAAGTAAATGAGTTCAGCTGCTCGAAGTGGATGCTGGCGGCGCCATTGCCCAAGGCACTGGAGGGGAGATCGCCGGACTCTAAGTGCCGATTGCAAGAGGGGACTGGCCGCTCAGCATGGTTGTTGTTGGGAAACATGTTTCATTTTTGCTTGTTGCCTTTTAATGGGAAATCCCCGCTTAACAAAAAAACGGTAAATAAACTCGGTTTGCTGATTTTTGCTTCTTGTGGTTTAGTGGTTGGAATCCAAATCCACTTAGCTGCTAAAAAAAATGTGTTGCTCCCCAAACCCAACGTCCACCAAGAAGAGCCCTAGGGCCTCCCTTGGAGTAGGCAGGCCTAAACTGTTGGGTTTATGCGGCATTCAGCTTGGTGGTATTGGGTCCATCCGGCATTCAGCTGTTGGGTCCATGGTCCATCCGGCATTTGTTCAAACCAAGTAGGAATGCCAGGCTTCGGAGGGGACTGCCCGCAGAGGCAAATTAAACCCAAGATTCATATATATATATATATAACCCCCGGCTCATGTTGGTTGTTGGGAAACACTTTACATTCTTGCTTTCTGTGGTTTAGTGGGAGATCCACACTTAACTGCTAAATTTATTTTTTGCTCCCCTTCCAACGTCAACCAAGCCAGAATGCCAGGCTTCGGAGGGCTGTTTGAACAACTCGCCTTAAGCGAGGCCCGCCGGATCTGACGGTTTAGGTTTCCCGTTCCCATGTTTTGAGTCGTGGCCACGCAAAAGGTGAGCAGCTTTTTTGGAATTTCTGGGCGCTTTGGGCAACTGAGTATGAGTCTCATGTTCACTCCCAGGCATGCAGGCACCCTTAAAGAGCGCACCAAAAAAGCCGGAAGATCACAGAGACACATTTTCCCTGTCAAAAACACCAGGCCGGGAGCAAGCGCTCATCTTTGTCTCACACACTGTCTCTATCGATTCCGTCCTTTCCCTACTCGCCTTTTCACTAATTGGGTGGTTTGGTGGTTGGGCTGGTTTCCCATCTACCCGCTACAAGAACCAGGGGTTCAAATCCCCAAGCCAATCCAAACTATCAACCAAGCGTTTTAAGACTACTCTCCTCCGTCCCCAACAGTTGCATCTAGAATTGAGACAGGAGAGTGATAGAAAGGGCAAGGGATGGATAATTCGCTCTAGCTGCGTCAGGGAACCCATGGTAGTCACCCAGCCAATTGTTGGACAGTTGGGTAGTATGTCTTTTTTCAGGAACCCTTTTTTTGGTTTGTTGAATGGGACTCCCAAAATGAATCACCTAACCTGGACACAAACCCATTTCTTCATTGTTCTTGGAATGTGTTTGGGTCTCTTTATTGATTAGTGGGGGGTTGGGCCTCCGAAACAAAATGGAAAGGACAATGCAAAACAAACAACAAGACAAACTCATTTGTGTGGCGGGCCTCCCCAAGAAAGGTTTGCCTAGCTTTGCAGGGTTTCGGCAGATGTATCGTCACCCAACTTCGACTCACCGACGGCTTGCGAGGTGCGAGCGAGGCCCGTGGACTACTCTGCAGCTGATGATCAGCTCGCCAAAGGCTCGAACACGCCGACGCCGGGAATTGTCCTTCGCCGCTGCGGGCGGGAGGGAAGGGCACATTCTGCACTCAATGTCGGAACTGCCATGGAAACCCTTCAAGCACATGAGACACCTTAGTGTGATTTCTTATAGAACTTTCTTTTGAGACACTCACTCTTTGCTGGGTACAGGGAACGAGGCTCCATCGGATTTCTGACTTGGGATGCTCCCAAGCCAAGTTCATTAGAGGCCCCTGTTTTGTTTGGACCCTGCTGGCCAAGCTTTAAGGCCGCTTTTGTGGGTGTGTCTTTCTTTGCCCCCCAAATGCCTTTGGTCTTCCTTTTGGTTTTCCCTTATAGCCACCACAAAAGGGTACCAACTCACAAAACGACGAGCCGCCAAAACGAGTGAAGCGGCCGGAAACTTTTGGGCACCTGCTGCTTATTGCCACCCATCCTATATCCATCGCATGCAAATTCAAGGAACCCGTTGGCTCAGAATCCTCAGTTCTCAAGATAGAAAGTTGACATGTGCGATTTTACGTCTCGTTGACAAGCAAAGAGAGCTTACCTAGATCCTCTGGGCATCCTTTGTATCATTTCAACTCCTGTTTGGTTCAGTGAGTTTAAGCGGCCTTCAGCCTTCAGGAGTCCATTATTGGGGGAGTGGAGTGCACCCTTTTTTTTAGTTCAAGGTGCTGTGGACGAAATCCACTCGCTCCACGAAATGCGTTACCTTCGTTGAAACCATCGGCATTTACGTGGGGGAATCGAATCATGCCAGGTTTTCTTCGGTGGTGCGAATTGGATTTCGTCCATCCACAGTATTGTCAAATCTGCAGATGTGATATCCAGGTTGCTCGGGCAATCGCAGTGCCAGGTGAAGTCCCGGTGTGGCCAGGGGCTGCTAAGGAGCAAATCGTTCTGCCCGCGCGCCAGAGGCCAATTGAAACCCAGGATTCATAGTTATAACCCCCCGCTGTCGATTCAGTTGCTCCGAGCTATGCAACGGACTCGTGTTTGGCTGACTTGCAAAGTGGAAACATCACGGTGGCGCTTTTGCCTTTTGCTCACTTGCCCAAAGTGAATCGACCCTTTGACATGGTTGTTGTTGGGATACATTTTGGCTTATTGTGGTTTAGTGGGAAATCCCCACTCAACTGCTAAAATTTAAAATTGTTGCTCCCCTTCCAACGTCAACCAAAAAGTGAATCGACCCTTTGACCTTTAGACCTCGTTTCCAGTTTTGGATTGTTTTGGGGTTCCCACGTTTGGCGGCCCGAAAAGGTGATCGCCTAGTAAATTCCTGGGTTGCTATCGGCACCGGGACCCCAACAACTGCTTTGGGGGAGCAGTACATGGTGGAAAAAGCAGGCAAGCTGTGGGGGGGGGGCTGGTAACAGGCAACTGAGCTTACCATTCTCTCAATCTGGGAACACTACGCCGGCAGCAGACATCGCGCAGGACGCCGAAAGCAAGGACTGCAAGTGTGTGAGTGTGGTCAGCTTTGCATGCACCAGGAATGGCTGTTTTTTGTTGCAGACGGGGGAGGCACCAGAAATCAGGTTACCCTTATTTTGAGGCTTGGGTTGGTTTGCGGATTTGAACCCCTGGTTTTTCTAGGGATTATGGGAAGCTCCCCCCCCAACCTCCAAACCACCAGCTAGGGCTGAAGAAAGGTAAACAAATAATTTGGCCCTTCCATGAGTCTAAAGCGCTAAAGCTGAAGGTATAATGCCATAGAAGGGCATGGGTCAAAGTTAAGCCACCAGAAGACGAATATGTAAGTCCCTGTCAGTTTGGGTGTTTCCTCAGCCCCCAGGAGTCCAAAATGGCCATGGGTTCACATATGAACCTATACGATCGGCCTTTGAATTATCATGATCAATCCAGGACGCCCGAGAAACGTCCCACACAAGACCTCGACCATGTGTTCGTGATCCAGACGTGGTCTTCTTTTCATGCACACGTGTTGCAGGGCCAGTCAGGTTGCTGTCTTTTAACCGTATGTTTATTCATGCTGCCATCTTGAAAGATGCCAAGTCATCCTTGAGTCGCCCCTCGGCCAAACAGCATCAAAGACTTGAGGCCTGAGTGCCGCCGTGCGCCTGAATCGCCTGTGGTTAAGTACTTGTTGGGAAAATTGTTTTAGCTGCAGACCAAGCCACTCAGGAAGCGATAAATCAAATCTGGTGGCTCACTATCAAGCCGTTTGGCTCGCAGGGAGGCGGTCTGCCTTCAACATGACTGGCTCCAGCTGCCAGCTAAGGGCAGCCATGTCAGCAATGCATGCTGTGCATGAGTCTTGAGCGCGCACACTACACCAACACAAAACAAACAAACAAAAGTCCCGGGCTTCGATACATGTGCCCAGTGTTTGTGCCAGCGTGACCTTGGATTTCCAAAAAAAACAACCAACAACATTGGAGCGAGCAAGGTGGCCAGGGGCCCCTTTGGGCTTTCGTTTCGGCCTTTTTGCCCACAGTCTTGCAAGATCTTACATGCAACCAAAACACGCACCAAACTCAATCATGAAACCCATTGGGTCCAAGATCTTTTGCTTCAGATCCGTTTCTCTCCGGAAGTTTTGAACTGTTAGTCATGGTAACCAAAGGCTGCACCGCATTCCTAGGTTATTCCTCGACATGTGAGCCTGGTTGCAGGGTTAGTTTTGTTCACTTTCAGCGGTCAACTTGCAGTTCCATGCTAGGCTTTGTGGTGGCACAAAGGGTGTGTCTCAACATAGGGAGCCCCCCCGCCCGAAATGCGCTTCGGTTTTCCGCCTGCTTGCCCTTTTTAAACCAACTCCAAAAGGGTACCAACTCGGAAAGACTAGATGCGTTCCCTCATCACTCCTCGTAACAAAGAATGGGAGTGGAGGAAGGGCGTTTCGTTTCCTACCTTCATGAGTTTGGCATTTGGCCGCTTGTGCTTCGTCACAGGGTTCTAAGCACCTCGGGCTTGACTGGCTGAAGGCCCCTATTAACTTGACTGCTATTGGGTTGGATCTTTAGACTTCAACTTTTTGGGAAATCAAGGGGGTTTCCACTAAACCTCCCAACAGTTAAACTTTTGGCAGGGGGGTCAACAGCAACCAAGTTAACAACCAAGAGGCTTGACAAGCAGGGCTCACATCCATCCATCCTGCGCCTTGGCAAACGCGCCATGGAGAAGAGCCCAGTCATCGCCAAGGTGCTGGCCAGATATCCAGACCTGGCGCCCAGCATCTCAGCGAGACACTGGAGGTTAAGTTGGGTGTGGCTGGCTGCAGGACTTACGTGACCGGTTTGCCTTTTTGCCTGTTTGCCCTTCAAAAACCAAGTTCGAATGGGATTTCCTACATTTTCCCAATGCACAAGCTTGCTTTTCAGCTGTTGTTTTCTTCTGGGTGTTTGGTGGATCCACGAAACTGGGGAAGTTACCAGCAAGTTGAGATTTCTGTCGCGGTCCAAGTTAGGTCATGGATCTTCGGCTGCCAAAGGGGTCAATTCCTTTGCAAGCAGTGGGCAGTTCCCAAAGTCACTTGTTCAAGGCGGATCGGGTGGGATTTGACCGTCTAGTTTCTGCTTTTTGGCAACCATTTTTTGATTCGTCATGGCCCCAAAAGGCTAACCCAGGTCCTGAGACATGACTAAATTGCGAACCGCCACTTTTAGTCATGGTCCCAAAAAGCTTAACCCCTTTTTTCCCGGTTGTTTCCACAACTAAGCAAAAGGAGAGGGCAAAGGACGCATGTGACATCTAGGGTCCATCCGAAAAGAAGTGGCGTGCAGCCTGCGGGACGCTTCTCCCTTGGCTTGGGCCCCTGAGGTCTCCTCAAAGTGACGGCCTTTGTTGGTGACCCGGCCGCGTTCCCAATACGTACTGGTGGGCAGGCTGAACCCATGTGTAGCCCCGCTTCAAAGCTGCAACTCACCTGCCCAAAGGCCCAAAGCGAATCGACCTTTGGACCTGTCAGTTTCAACTTTTTGGCACCCATTTTAAGTCATGCCCCACAAGGTTACCTTTTACCTGAGTTTTAGTGGCTGCAGAAGGTGATCGCCCTATTCGATGTTTCTGTCGCTAAGAGGCAACTGAGTCCACTGAGCGCGGCAAGCGGCAAGGGAGGGCGCAAGCCATTCGAGGCTCCCTGAATTTTCCGCCCGACGCCGCGGAGTGGAGCGAGAAGGAGGTGGACCTCTTTGTAGGCCGCAGTAGCGGATTCGAGTGAGCGAAGATCTGTCTGCCTGGGGTCATTTTTTTCTGCAGAAAGGGGCAAAAGCTTTTGACCACTTTTGGCTCTCCCCATTTTTGGAAGACTCGGCGAGGTTTTCCAACTATCATTCTTTGATGCAAGGGTTCAGCTGTACAAGAGTTCCTCAAAGCCGGTTGAATCCCTTTTGGTTGGTTCTTAAATGGGAACAAAGCGACTCCGACCGCCTGAGCGAATCCCCAAATGAGAGACAGAACACCACCGTGGATGGTTGCGAAATTCATTCGCATTGTGAAGCCATGGCTGAAGCGATTGTTTGGCATTTACTGGGGAATTCGAACCATCCCGTTGGGTTATCTGAACGGTGGTGCGAGGAACGGATTTCGCAACCATCCGCATGGCAGCAAATGAGCGACAGGCAGTGCTGGCTTTATCAAGCCCAAGAGGCCGGGAGTCGAGGTATAGGCACCCATCGCACTCTGCTTGCTGGTTCTGAGCAGGGAATGAGGGAAGGACCTACCATCCCCTTTCCCAAACCGGGTCCTTCCCTGAGAGCCAGCAAGCCTGGGAGCCCCCCAGAATCACGTGACCACTCCTAGTCCAGGAATTCCCGTGATCAAAACGTTCTCTACTTCTTCATCTTGATTCTGGTCCATACCTTACCTCTTGAAAACACAACTTTTCGTAACTTTTTGGGTAACATGGGCTATATGTCTGTAAAAGATGAAAACTTCCCCAGGGCGCAGGGAGTTTTAGGTAAGATGCCAAGATGTTTCCAGAGAACGAACTAGTTGCTATAAGAGTTCCCGGAAATAGGATCATCCCATCTTTTCTCTCTTAGCCATTTCCCTCTTGGCTGAATCCTTTATGACTGACCTGTTCTGGCCCGCGGCCGGGTTCAGCTTGGACACGTCCTGACAAGGAAAGCCTGCCCAAAGAGCACAGCACGTTCCCACCTCCGAAATATTGTCAAGCAAGGAGTGAGATGGGAAAGGCAATCCGTTCCTACTGCCAGTCAAAGGAGGCAGGGAAAGGGCTAGGTGACCAAATGGGAAGTATTTCAGAGAGGACAAGGAGAGGAATTACATGGCCATTCCTTCTCCCGTCCTATCATCCCCTTCAGACGCACCCCGTTGGGGAAGCCTGAAATCGACCAGTACTGCAGGCGTGTTTGATGTGTGTTTGTGTTTGGGGCGGTGGAGGTGGTGAAGTTTAATGAGCTTGGGGTGGCTACTAGGTTTTGAATCATGGAATTGTGCCCTAGACATCCAACACTAGTGTTTTTCAATGGAACCTTGACCATAGTCCATTCAGGAGTTTTGACTGGCTCTTCTGGACTTTGCAAGTGTGAGTGTGTGAAGCTGCTCAAATACATCAGGCACTCCCCTCAAAGGGTAGGACAAAACCTGACTCAAAGCAAGTTCAGTCAGACTACGCGCTGATCTTTAGGGCGGCTTTGGCGGCCCTCCCAAAAACCGCCGAGCAGCACATACATGTTGATTTGCTTAGGTGCCAAATGACCTTAAAGGTGCGTTTTTGCAGGGCTCCTTAAAAGATACATTTTGCCCATTTGAAACATGGCTTTTTCCACAAGAATAAAGGGAAACCACAATTTACAAGGCAATGTTCAGGTGTATAATGTAAGGATCCCTGTTTTGTTTGAACCTTTTTGTGTTTTCGGAGAAGGCTGTGGCTCAAATAGGTGTACCAAAATGGCCCTTTGGTATATCAAAGACTAAAACCTGCGTAACCCTAGCTCTTGAACTTTGAGCCACACCCAGAATTTGAGAGCAGCCTGAGACCAGCTGTGTGGCCAAAAAAACACAGCCCCTAGCGTGGCCGGTTCAACATGTTGGCGCATTCACATAATATTTTGCCAACAGCAAGCCGTTCATGCTTCGCTTCCGAGATCCGCGGCTTGCATGGCCTTTATGGAGAAGCCCTATGTTTATATATAGCGCCGCGGGACCCTTGCATCATCAGGCGCCTCTCTGCCAGCATCCAATCCATGGCCGTCCCTACGTTTCCCCTTTCTTCTTATCCTCACTTACTCTGACTCCCGTTCCCGGACTTCAAACTGTTCGGGCAGACCATTCTAGTGGCAAAACCTGGTAAACATCACTCATGGGGGATGGGGGGGAGGGAGGGGCGGGAGGGAGCCCCAATAAGCCCCAAATAAGGCCTTATACGGCTGAATAAGGGCTTTTGGGCTCCCTCCCCTCCCTGCCCCCCGCCCCCATGAATCACTGGTTTTTGGGCCAATCCACGGGATCGGTGAGTTTACGACTAAGCTTCGGCCTCCCGAGTTTCCGATTTCGGATGCTTTAGGCCGAAGGCAGCCAAGCCTGCAGGCGGGAGGGAATCCGATTTGGATTAAAACGAGCCACCCGGATTCAGATTGAAAAATATCGAGCGGCCCCATAGAAACCAGTCAGTTCATACAACCACGAAAAAGAGCCGCGATATAAAGGGGATATACACCATTTGCCTTTGGGGTTAGTGGCTTCAGCGCATGGACACCATCTTACACTATGTGTTTGTTTTGCTCAAAAGACTCAAAAAACATTTTACTCTAAAACGTATTGCCGGTTTCTTAGACATGAAGGTGCTTGTGGATCCCTTGCAACAAGACTTTCGGATGACTTCTTTCGACTCCCTGTCCACCTCCATGACTGTTGCAGAGAGGGCAACTCATGTATTTTGCGCAGATGGGCCATTTTTGTTTGAGCCGCCACCAGCTTCATGGAGTTCAAAGCTGTTACCTTCAAAGGGGCCGTTGTCAGCCCGCATGCAGGCGGCTCGCGGTGTGGCGTGTTGCTCAACATCTTTAGGGGTTCGGCGGCTCTCAATCAGGACCAAGTTAGTGTGGAGTGTCTGCATGTCGGGCTCGTTTGCATATGGGTCTGTGTTTTCTTACCGTGTCAGTTCTTTAGTCTTCGTGGGAGGTGGGGCTTGGGCGAGCCATACCCCCGAATCATACCCCGAACCATACCCCCGAGCCATACCCCGAGTCATACCCCTTAAAAAAACACAAAAAAAGAACTTGCAAGAACTGTGGCATTTGCATGTTGACATGTCCACTCACACACTCACTGGTTACTCGTGGGGGGCCATTTTGGCTGAAGTGGTGTTCCTTGACACACCACTCGGTCTCGGCTTGCTATTTTCAATGGAAAGTGCCACTGGATGGAGTTACAGAGCAATCCTGCGGATGTCCTGGTACTAGAGTTGTCTGTAGCATCCGTGGTGCTGTGGCGGGGGTGCAGCTTGACGCAAGACGCTGGGACTTGCAGGGCGCTGTGGCAGGGGGTGCCGCTGCTGAGCTTGAAACTTGGAGCTTGCTTCCTGCAGTCTGTCCGACGCGGTGGAAACAGCTGTCTGTCCTGGGCCACTGTCGCAGTGAAACACAAGCTGTCTTTGTGCTCCTGGGGTACTCTTGGTGTCTTTCCGGTCGAAAAAAAATCTGTCCCCCGATTCTGCTGCCATTTGCAGCCAAGAGCCTCTTGCGCTCTGGGCAGTACTAGCGAAGCTATGCCGCCCAAATCCTCAGCCTCAGAAGACACAAAACTCAAAAGAGAAGCACTGCAGGAACCAGCTCGCCGCTTTTTGCAGAAGTTCGCCAGAAGGTGGGTTCGGAAGGCTTACTGCGATGTATCAAGCGCGACACGGTACACCACCTGTGAGACGGCCACTAGCCTCTGCGCGGCTGCCGTTTGAGGATGTCACGCTGTCTTGCCCTTACGCTGGTTCGTGACTGGTGCAGGTGGCGGGCCTGACTGAGCAGCGGCGCTTCCCCTTAAGCAACGCTTGCTTGGGCCTGTGAGCACGCGGGTCGCTTGAACTCCAAGTGGAGGTGGCCATGACGTTCGTGGCTCTGCGCCTTCCACCTAGCGCAGAAGCTTTCGCTAACCCACTCACGCAGAGTGGCAGCTGTCTAGTTCAGGCCACTCACAAGCGCCCCAGGCTGGCTTGTAGCAACTAAGCGGTCCAAATTCTCACGGCTATCCAGTTGCCAGCGCACGGGAGCTTTGCAGTGTCCAAAGCCACAAAGCAAGAGTTCAGAGGCGCGCGAGCCATACCCCGATTCATACCCCCGAGCCATACCCCGAACCATACCTGCGATTCATACCCCTTATACCAACCTCCCGGCACGGCCACGTCAAAAAAACACATACCCATATGTCATTGCTACAAGAGTCAATTCCATATCAGCATGTCATGGACCGCAACCACCCAAACCCCCCACCCCTCCTCCCCAATCCTCAACCCCAAACCCCCCCCCCCAATCCCCCAAACCTTCCACCCCCCCACCCCAACCCCCAGGTTTCATTTCGGCATCCTTTCAAAGCAACCACCAGAAGGGTACCCTCACAAAAAGAGAGGGACCCATTTCCCTATTTCCTGTAAAGTGTTTCGTGGGGCTTTTTGGGGCAGCTTGGGACGAACTCGGCCGGCTTGCAGGCCAGGCAGCTCCTGCTTATGCGGAGGCCTGGTGTCAAAGCATATCTCGGTACGGAGATTGGCCCCTCAACTCATGAAGTGTGTTCTAGGTCCTCCAGCTAGGTGCCCTTTTACTGTTTCTTTTTTGGGGGAGGGTTCCCCTACTACAATAGACTACAGAAAAAAGGGTACCCTTATTCTAACCTCCCCACTGGAGGACCTAGTGTTTGTTCCCGGGCTTCTCTTATTTCATGTTGGATAAGTATTCTTAAGAGGCTATTAGATGAATGTAACATGTATCTATATTTGATTGTTTTCTCCCCAGTAGTAGGCGCACCCTACCATGCTCCAATTCCAGCCAATCCCAGAATACTAATTTAGGCGTAGGCAATACCGAGCCAATTCTAAACCAATACATTTCCCGCCGACCTCAGCTGCAGTCGTAAAAGGGCGCTTGCCAGAATAAGCTGCAGACTCATACATGTCGATTGCAGTTTAGCTGGTTACACCTTTCAGAATTGCTGTTCTGAATTCACACATGACACACACACACAAACTCTTTGATCGACTCCATGCCAATCCTTTCCTCGCAACGGCCGAAGCCTTCGCACACCCGCGGGACTCACTCTACGGTTTGTGATTGGTTTTGGCTGGAATTGTTAGAGGGGATGGCACATGAGTCTTGGCTGCCTTTGGCGAGGTGAAACCGCCAGCGGCAACCGCGGCGGCAGATTCCGCAGCTGAGGAAGCTGTACCCGCCCCTGGATGCAAGATGCAAGACTCAAGTGAGGTATGAAACCCTGGTTGATTCAGTGAAAGATTCATGTTTGCGTTTACATGCTGATCCAGTTGAGGTGGGCGTTGAATCGTCTTGGCAGTGCTGTGGGTCATTTGGAAATCCGCGGCTTTCAGCTACTGCAGTAGGTGTCTCAGAGGGGGACGGAACCTAGAAACATATTCGAATCAAGGAGGGGCGCGTCTTGCATCTTGCAGGTGCTCTTTGTTTATTCACAGCTTGATTCGCCATGCGCATTGGATTCTCGCCATTTGCCATGAATATATGGCAGTTTGAGTCCAGTCACATCCTGGACTCGCTTGGGCCCCATATTTTGTTTTCCCGAGTGTTGACTGCCTTTGGCGCGGAGGTCAAAACGCCAGCGGCTCCAGCAGCGCCAGTGGTGTCAACGCCGGCGGACGCAGGCACAGCACCTTCGGAGGAAGCCGTGCTACCCGCCGCTTGGCAAGATGCAAGTGTGGACAAGTGAAGTATGAAATTCATTGATCGATTTGTGTGTTCCTTTCAGGTTGTTGCTGCTCTGTTGCACTGAAAGCTCCTTAAGCAAAAGAACAAAAGCTGCTTCAAGGGAACACCGGAACCGAACTCAAAGGGAATTCCTGAGGCTTTGCAAATTCATTTATCGGGTTCGCAAATTTGGCTTCATGGCCGTATGGGGCCATGAATCCGTGTCTGTTTGAGTCCATCGTTTGTGAGCCAATGCACGTTTGATTGCCAACGCATATTCATGTTTGGTCTTGGATGGTTCTGGGAGGATGAATGCGAGGGGAAACTACGCACATTGTTGTCGTGTGAGCAGGGCTCATGTTGGCTTGAAAGTACCCCACAACCGCATTCCGGGTATTTAGGCCCTGCTAGCATCTATTTGCAAAATGTTAGGGCCCGTCCCCTCCCGACCAGCAACGATAAGTTGACTTGGACGGCAAATTCATAATCTTGGGCATCCTGGCCCTTGTAATAACCAGTGCCCAAGGGTGAAAACGGATGGACGCAGTCAATCATGTCCATTCTATCCTTGGCTTTTCGCAACTAAGAAGGAAACTGAAGTTCTAAGACGTGTTTTTGATTTCTGACGGTTGTTCGTCCGGCTTTGTTGCATGCAAGGGCCTTCACCAAATTTTCTCGGACTGGGGTGGGTACCGCCTGATATATCTAAAGGATATCTCTACATATATGCACATTGATTTTGGTGGCGTTTCTCGTTTCCTCGTTTCGCTTCTAGGTCCCCCAGTAGTGCCCTTTTACCCTTTTTTGGGGGAGGGTTCCCCCTACTGAGACAGACTACCGAAAAAATCAGTACCAACTTATTCTAACCTCTCTACTGGAGGACCTAGGTAACAATAGCAGCCCAGAAGCAAATGCACCGGAGCTTCAGAAGCCAACAATTTCACGTATTCCCATTCAGTGATTCGTTTGCGAACGCGGAAGGCTTCAAGCGACTCAAAAGCGTCCTCAAAGCAGAGGCACCGATGTGGGGCTTGAGCCTCGCCTCGAACGCCTTCAGCTCTCAGCCGAGGAGCTGCCCCTCACTCGCTGGCACAAGGACGCCTACTGGGCGCCCTATGCCACCTACATGGAGGACACCAAGCCTTCAATTGTCTCAGTTTCAAAGCGAGTCGACCGTTTCACCTGTTGGTTTTGGCCCATTTTGGCCCATATGTAGTCATGGCCCCAGAAGGTTAATCTTTTAGCTCCAGGTGTTTTGGGCAACTGCGTTGTTTGTCGGCTTAGCTTTGTTAGGAATGAACATCTATGGATTCCACCGGTTGTCGTTGGATAGCCATGCAAATGCCAGTCACCAGTGCTGGCACATGAAACGCAGGGCATGCATGGGGCTGTTTTGAGTCTTGCGAGCGCTGGCTTTTTGTTGCGGCGGTCCGAAGCACCTAGCGGATTCCAACAGAAACCAAAAGCAACACTTTGCCATGGTTTGACGGGCTCTAGCGAGGATTCAGGTTTGCATGCTTCTCACCAGCCAAACATTTGCATGATCGGGCAGGACATGTGTTTGAGTAATTCTTGAGGGTAGCATACGTATGTTTTTCAGTGCCGTTGCTGTCGGCAAGTCGTCAAGCAGTGCGTTCAAGTTGGTTGAAATTGCCATCATTCTCCTGTGCGTTCGCTTTAAACGTCACCTTTTGCACGGGCCAAGTTTGAGGTGAGTTTCGTTGTTGGCGGGGGTTGGGCGATTGAAGCAGGAATACAGGCAGGCAACCTCGTTGTCCATTGGAGGCATTTTGGACACTTAGCTGCTGTTTGTTTTGACGTTGGACCTACAACTCTTGGGGACGTGCGCGTTGTACCGCAAAAAGTAAAATAAAACAACGACAAAAGGAACTGAGACCTTCTGCGGGCGACAGAAATCCAAGCGCAGGATGTTGGGGAGAAGGGCCTTCGCTTGGTGGCCGCGCTGAACAAGTGCGAGCGCTTTCGCAACGTGGGCCTTAAGAAGGGCGCGCCTTGGCGGAGACCCACCCGCATCTTCTCGCGCCGAGAGCCTCGAGAGCCTAGAAGTTTCGCATGGGGATTTGACTCAAGCATTGCGAGAACCGTCCTGGTAGGAAATGCTTCTCATGCAGCTTCCGCCATTTTTGTCGCTTGCATAGAAAGGGTTGGTAGATGGCCCGCTCTTTCTTGATGTCTTGGCGTTGTCATGAGGTCATGAGGTTGCCTTCCTTTTGTTTTGTCTTTGTTAATTTGCCCTGGTCGAACATGTTTTGTACACAGTTGTGTTGCTTTGTTGTTGCTTGTGTTGTTGTTTTTTCCCCTTCTGTTTTTGACCTACCGCCCATTTGTTTAGCTTCTAAAAGCAAACCATTTGGTAAGATATATTATATAGAATCCAGAGCCCCTGAACCATGACACCCAGATATGCTCTCGTGAGTTTGGGACAGGCGCTAGGATGGGCTTGTCAACGCATTCGCCCAAGGGTGCCGCTAGAGCGACGTGGTAAACGGTGACACGCAGCTGTTCAAGTTCAGAAGTGCTCGGGGTCCGTTGTTTGACCGGCTTGCTCCTTTACCACCAACCCAGAAAATTTCAGGGGTTTCCCCAGAAGGAGTCGCACTCAAATCACTTCTGAGTTGCTGGAGGTCATACCTCCGGGGAGGGCATTTCCAGACGAAGAGTTGCTCAGCCTGTTCAACAACTCAGTCTACCCAAAGGAATCGACCTTTGGGATTATGGAGCGTATTTCAGACAGTTTCGGTCTATGGTCGCCTCTTCGGAGGTTAAGCAACGCGCTTGCCAGATCCAGGCAAGCGAAAGAGGTTAGTACCGAAATCAAGTGAACGAGTTATCGTTGCTGCACTGGGTTCATCACAGCAATCAACCCTTATTCGAGATATGGGTGTGGCTCAAAAATTAACAGGAGGGGTTACGCAGGTTTTGGTCCATGTTTCCACTTACCAAGGTTCCATTTTGGGTACCGGTTGTTTAAGCCAAGGCCCTTTTGTGGTTTCTCTTGCTGTAATCGCTTCTCCCTAACAAAAAATCACCCCCCCCAAAACAGACATATAAAAATAAAAATGGCGGGGGGTTTTATTATTAGGGGTAGGTTGATTAATAGGAAGAAGGGATTAGTGGTGTCCCGTCCGAAATTCAGACCAGGCCTTTCCCGCCCGGGCCCCCCCCCCCCCCGAAAAGCTCCCCCCCCCCCAACGCCCTTCCCGCGACAGCCCGCAGAGTTTTGTGCTTGAGGCCGGCTTCAACCTGAACACCCTCAAAGAGCGCTTTGGCGCTGGCATCTTGTTACCTCGCACCAATTGGTCTGTGTGTGTGTGTGTTTAGTTCCGCTCCATTTGTGCTTCTTTTTTTTTTTGGAAGTTCTGCTCCATTTTTGCGGTTTGCTTTTGATGAGTTGTTTTGCTTATGTTGGGACCCTTGGCTTCCCCCAAAACCTCCCGATGTATTTAGGGCCCTCAAGCAGGTTCTGAGACCACCGATTCCCGGGGTGGAGTCGGGTCTTGAAAGCCGAAGCCGATCGGAGCCTCGGGGCCCTGGGGCTCCCCTTGCGTCGAATTTCGGTGTTCGAGAGCTCGCGGAGTCTCGCGATTCCGAGGCTCAGGGAGTTCGCGCTGGAGATGGTGGCGAAAGACATTCCGCGGCGTGACGAGATGACGAGTCGAGTCGCGTTTCTTCTTTGGGCGGAGGCGAGGGTATAATATATATATATATACATATAGTTATAGCACATATTATATATATATATATATATAGATATATCACATATATGTATGTGTATATCTTTCACACACACACATATATATATATATATATACACAAGCCTTTGTTTAAACACAAATATTTCACGTCTTTGTTTGAGAAAATAGAAACCAATTGGCTGGGTCCCTGCATGGGTTCCCTCCATTTTGAGATGGTTTCAGGCGTTTCTCAACCAACAACACTGAGCTCACTTGGGGGAATCCAGGGCTCACCCGCAGTCCCTTCACAATCACTGGCTGGTTTAAGGGAATTCGGGGCCTTGTGGTTTTGCAGCCGCCGTAACCGCCATGGTTCATTTTGGCCGTTTCCTGGTTAGAAATTCCTCGGAGGGACGCCAAAGCCTGAGGGTCCGGCTCCAGGTCTCTGCCTTGGACAAGCCGGTTTTCTCACTTCCTCAGTTCATGAACTGGAAGCTTTTTGGGAAGACCATTTTAGTGGTAAATGTAAAGTTTGATTTTTTGTTTGGCCATCCATCCACTCAGCAAGTGAGTACTTATTAAATTGTTTGGCCCGAACCAAAGCGTGAACATCCAAAAAAAAACACGTGCAAAGCAACGGGGGGGCTTTGGGATGGGGATGCCAGGCCTTTCGCCGGAGAGCGGCGGAGCCCAAAACCCGCCATGTGTCGAAGGGTTGTTCTCTTGATTGCTATTGGCCAACGGATCTTTAGACTTGAACTTTTTGGTTGAAATCAAGGGGTTTTCCACTAAACCCCCAAAAAGTTGAAGTGGGGGGTCAACAGCAAGCAAGTTCTCCCGTTCTCCTCACCTATCGTTCTCTTTCGGGACCACCCAATTTCTCATGGCTTGGGCCATTGAAGAGTTGGATCCCTGACGAGGTACGGCTTGTTTTTTCAGTTTTCGGGGTGGCTCAATACGAAACAGAGTCAGACAATATGCTTTTCTGTGTGCCCCTGGGCCAAGGTTTGGATGATTGCAAGTTTCCGGACCGATTCAGAGGTTCATTGTTCCAAGAATCGCCATGGTGTGTCTCAACATCGAGGGCCCCCCCAAAATGATGGCTTCCCATGTGGTCTCCCTGCAAACGCATCCCCGAACTAATGGTTTCCTTTTGGTTTCCCTTTACAAGCACCGGTACAAAATGATGGCATTTATTTTGGTTTCCCTTCAAAAGCAGCCCCCATTCAAACTTGTTTTCCTGTTGGCTTCCAATTAAAAGCCCTCCCCCCCACCAAAATGATGTGTTTTTTTCCGTATGGCTGCCCTTTAAACCTACCCGACTCTCGTGGTTCGCCTTTTGGTTTCCCTTGAGAAGCGGCCACTTAAAAGGATAGCGAGCCTCAACAAACAAGTGGCCGTGGCTCAAAAAACCGGTACCCAAATGGACACATGGACCGAAAACCTGCGGGGAACCCCAGCTGTTTTGAGCCACATCCTCTCGTTGCGCCCGGATGTTTGTCTCGCTGGACTTGAGGAGCGGCATCATGTCGATGCTTTGGGTCTCCCTTCGCCTGGAGTTGCCGTGCTCGCCCTTTATGCCCATGCGCTTCAGCTGCAAATGCGCCACGTGCTCAAAACCGATTCGGGTAGATGGTTAGGTTAAGGGGCAGTCCCAGCCAGAAATACTTGCGGATCTCCGCCTTAGTTCTTTACATGGTTCTGGGTAGACCATTTTAACACCGGGCTTTGATTGTAACTCAAATGTCGGCCAGGGGGGGCGGACGCGGCAGGAAGTGTCCTCCGTTTCTGGGGGTCTCCTGCATCTTGTGCAGCATGAGCAAAATGGTGTTGGCACACCGGTTTATGAATATCTCAGTTGCCCAAAGCCAACTTTTTGACCTTTTGGTTTTCCTGTTTTGGTCCATATTTAGTCATGGCCCCAAAAGGTTAACCTTTTAGTCCCAGGTCCTTTGGGCAACTGAGATATGGTTTTGCTTCTCGGGTAGCGTGAGTTTAGAGAGCCAGTACCCCAGGTGTTTCAAGGGGGAACAAAAACAAGACCCCGCCGCGTTTGGTTTGATTTGGTCTTGTATGGGGGCGGGTGGCTTTGATTTGCTTCATCCACAAGAATCAGTTGGATCACTTTGACACGCCATGGGGCTCGCTGGATTACACCCCAAGAATGCTGTTACCTTGCTTCAGGGTCGCCAAGAAGCCTGGAAGTAGGAAAGCAATGCTGGTAACCCTCCTTCCGTGAGGCCACTTGCATGTGAGCCAAAGAAAGAGTTGATGTGTTTGACACCACAAGTGCGATGCTGCTACCATGGTGGAATTGGTGCGGGCATTTCGGCTTCTAAAAATCCGTTTGAAGCTTTAAGCCCTTCTTGCACTTAGGGCACGGCACGGGAACAACATTGGCCCAAAATTGGCAGTGCTTGAAGAAACTTCTGGGCTTGGCGCAGGGAGATTGCGCTTGGCTTGACAGGCATGACCGGCATGGGTCGGTGGGTCTGCATGTTGTCCCATATGACTTCGTGGCATTGCCGCGCCATAAACATGAGTAGCGCTTTGGTGTCATGGCACACATTTGAAGCCCAATAGGCGCTGCCTGGTATGATGCCTAACGTTGACCCCTGATGAGTACCCCACCACAGCTCTGCGTTTACATCAGGGGTCTGTTTTGTTGTTTACCCAAGAAAAACCTGGAAGATCAGAATGCGACATCGGCGACACCTAGCGAGAGCTCGGGCATTGGCTCGTGCAGCCGGTGAGCCTTCTCTAGTTTAAGGCAGACTCTTATTGTCTTGATTGCCATTGGGTTGGACCTTTAGACTTTTACTTTTTGGTTGAAATCAAGGCGTTTTCCACTAAACCCCAAAAAAGTAACAAAACACAAAAATGCAGGGGGGCAACAGCAACCAAGTTGTAGCTTTGCAGATTCGCAGGGATTCCAACTTGAGAGAAGCCGAGGTATCAAGTCATGGTTCCGGAGGGCAGCAGCGAGGTGGTGTGCAAAGGCGTCTTCGGCATGCTGATGTTGAACACGGCTACCATGAGCCCTTCGGCTCCGCGACTTCTGTCACCTCCAGATGAAGTCTTGGATAGACAAAATATGGCGATATGAACTTTAGGACTTGGAACCTCCCAAGTTCCTGGGGGATACGTTTCCTGAATGATGTCCACAGAAGGGTCCCCACTCAAAATTCAATGAAAGAAGGACACGATTCGGAACCCCATATGAAAGGTGAGGGCTTTTGATCTCTTCGCCACCCGTCTTCGGAGAAAAGGAAGGCCGCCGAACTTTTTTGGTAGGGCCCCTTGATTTTGCGAAAGGAAGTGCGTGTGCCCCGCGCAATTCCCTGTACTTTCCCGGGTGGTTGACACAAGTTGATTGAGCTAAAGGGTTGAGAGATGCCGAAAGGCAGTCTACAACGGCAAACGTGGGATATACTCGTTTTGGATCATTTGAAGATAGTGTCTTTTGTCACATCCACTGGGGTATTTCTAGTTCTCGGACATACTTACATGCAAGGCGGCCATCCACACGGCCTTGCAAGCCGTTAAAGGATTAAGCCTAGGTGGGCGCGGTTGCAGACAATTTGTTGAAGCAAGCAGATCATAGTCTCAGCAGGCTGTCAGGGCCATAGTTGTCATACCTTTCTTCCCAACTCTGCATTGCATCATTGGCAGTGAACTGTTCTGCTTCATTGGATTCATTGGCTTTTGAGGTGTGCTGGAGGACGGAAGCATCTATGAGAAGGCGCAATGTTCCGTTACAAATTTCGCCAGAGTCGGAGACGTTGAGGATTTGCGCCAGTTTCTTCCGTGACACAGTTAGTTCGAAATCCATGCGGGAGTGTCTTGTTTGCGGGTACCACGGCTCCCCCACCCTTTACGTGGGTTTTGTCCATCACGCTGTTGCTTGGCTGTGTGTGTGATCAGTGATCTTGCCTGGTGAGCTGTTGTTAAGTTGGGATGTTTGTGCCAATGGAGGGCATCAGGGGCTGAGCGTTGCGCGCTCTAGAAGATTGGGAGTCAGGCGAGACCTTTCACATATTTTTGCTCCCCCCCTCCCCCCCCCGCTTGATGCACAGGAAGCCTAGTCAAGAGGTCAATAGGAAAGGATCGATCTTCCAAATCCAAACAGCTGAAATGCGCAGCTAGTTACAGGGATAGCGACCTCGGTTCCCCTCGCACTTGTTGAACTTTGCCGTTTCATCTATTTTGTGACAGCATGCTGAAGCACAGGGCGATCAAGTTTCCCTGAGTTGCAGGCCTAATTGGTCCCTCTCATCCACATGAATCTGGCTACGTCCTGGACTCGAGAGTTCCATGCTGACAGAAATTGGTAGCCTAGGATGCAAAGCACCACAATTCATAGAACCAGCTACAGGAAATTCTACAGGAAACTAGCCAAATTCCCGTTTCCTGTAGAACTTCCTGTAGTTGGTTTCTTGGATTGATTATAAGGAGCTGTCCAGAGACAAACAACTTCGCTGTAGAAACCCATAGCACCTCAGCACACTTCTGCCTCATGTCCAGACTACGGTGGAAACCGCACAAAAGCGTTTGGTTGATATGAATCCCAACCTAAATGGGGGTTTGTTGTTTTTCGGGGACAATCAAACAACATGTGGTTTCCCTTTTGTCCTTCAAAAGCCATCCCCACGAATATGGCCCAACAACTCGAGCGGCCAGGTGGCCGCTCCTCTGCGCAGCGCCTTCGGCTTGAAGAAGCCAGACGGCAAGGAGGGCGTGCCCAAGTTCCCCCGCACCACGATCGACATGGCGATCACGCCGCCGCTTTTTCGTATGTCCCCACGGAAATTGAGGCCCCCTCCCCTTGTTTGGCCACCTCCGTTTGGTGGCCAATGGGGTTAGAAACCTCCTAAGTTTATGTTTTGTCTGAATTTGCTTTTTCTGGGTTAAGCACAAAACAACCAAGCAGAGCGGGTTACATCGTTTGATGGGGTCATGTTCTCACTTGCCCAAAGCAAATCGACCAGATCTGACCTTTTAGTTTCCCCTTTTTAGGTTCCCATGTTTAGTCATGCCACCCAAAAGTTGATCACCGTTTATTTCTGGGTCCTTTGGGCAACTGAGTGTTTCCTTGGGTGATGTGTAATGTTGAGCCATCAATCCGGGGTCACATTCGAGGGGGGGGTAACATAATCATTTGCAGAGTTTGCTCACATTTCAAGATTCATTGGCGGATTTTTTACGGCCGGTTCATTTCATTTCATTTCATTTCATTTCATTTCATGAGCCCCTATGAGCCCCTAGCTTCCTGTGGTAGGGAACCCTTCCTCAAAACGCGGGGCCCCGTTTCGGCGTGTGCCAGTGTGCCAGTGAGCCAATTGCATGCCAGTGAATCGAGCCCCGGGAAAGGGAAGCCGAAAATTACGGGGCCGGGGTTTCCCCCGGGCGCCTGGTTTTGGCATAAGGTGAACCCCGGATCTAAGTACCTGGACCCTCCAACTACCCACAAAAATGGGATATCACCAACCATAATTTTGGGGGTCAAACCCATTTTTAAGGGAATTTTGAGGGTTCAGGTAGAACCCCTGGTTGATTTTGATCGGGGGGGGTCCAATTCCTTTTAGTGGGGAGTCAGACCACTTTTGGAGGGAACACCCCCCGAAGAGTGGGACGGGTTTATTAGTCCTGGGTCAACATTACCTTGCGGGTTGCGTCCGGTTGGCTTTCGCCCAAGAGGCGATCCGGGCCTTCCTGAGGTATCTACCCCACACGGGGCTCACCCTTTTCTCCTACGTGCCTTGGCAGATCTTCGATGTCAATCTTGACTGCTATTGGGCAACGGATCTTTAGACTGTAACACTTTTAGGTCCAAGGGGGTTTAACTTTTTTTTGAAATCAAGTTGGGTAAATCAAGTTGGGTTTTCCGAACTAAACCCCCTAAAAAGTTAACTTTTTGCAGGGGGGTTGTTGCAGCAACCAAGTCAACAAGTGAGGAAAGACGAGCGAATGGCTTCGTGTTATTCTGAGGCATGGGGACCTTGCGTGGCACCAGCAGCTGGAAAGGCAGTTTGTAGCCGAATTAATTGGGAGGGGCCCTAAAAATCCGTGGGCGCCCTTTTCGTTGCCTTGCTGAGTCAAGACCCGTTGGACGCAACGGGAGAGGGAGAGGGAGCCCCAATTTAATATGGTGTAAAGCCTGCATGCTTCCGAGTCAAGAGTCGAGAGGATCGTTTCTGTTTTTATTGTGGCAGATTGGATTTATATCTCAGTTGTTCAGTAGCCCCCTTTTTCCCCTGTTTTTTTTGGTGGCTGCCCCACTAAAATGGTCTTCTCAACAAAGGGTTCCCTTTTTTTCCAGGGTCACTGAACAACTGAGATATGGATGTATCATGCACGTCAATGCAAAAGATGATCTTTCGGCTGGCTGAAGACATGAGACATTCAATGGAGGATTGTTGAACATACAACAGGGCTGTAGGAAATTACCACTTCTGTGATACAACAAACAGGGCTTCCCAAACACTAACCCCCCATATAAAGGGGGAGATTCCCTTGTATCACAGAAGTGGCGAAAAACCCCTTGATCCCACAACACTGACATACAATGTTTGAGCACCCTTGCGGCAGCCTCATGTTGTCGTTGGCAGCTTTCTCACCGTAAAAGAAAAAGTACCTTAAAACAAAAAATATTGGCTTTCCCCTGGTCTCATCAGCCTTTGGTCTGGCCGGGACCCGGTGGAATCTCGGTTCCTACCGCAGGCAGTTGCTGTGCACCAGCTACACCATTATGCCCAGCGACTGCGACGCCTGGCACTTGAAACGCCGGCGACAGGGCCAGGGGTTCGCTGGAGTCCTGGTTTTCCCTTCCTGGATGTAATGTGGAATCTCCATGACACTTAAAAATTGGGGGCGTTACCCATCAAATCATGGGGTCATTGACCCATTTTTAAAGGGTCGTGGAGACTCCAGGTTCAAAGGTGTTTCGTTTGTGAACAATTTCGATCGATTTCCTTTAAGGTTTTGCTGGTTGGTTTAGCAAACTGCGCCATGTTTCCCCTTAAAGGTGGTTCTCCTATGTTGCTTGTTGGCTTGGCAAAATTTGCGGGCAGGGTTCTTCACATGTGTTTGTGCAGGCTTGATTTCACAGCGTTGTTGTTCAGCCTTTAGACCAGCTTTCGCAAGGGTAGAGCACCTCCTCAGTTCGTGGACTTTAAACACTTTTTGGGAGGACCATTTCGGTGGCAACAAAAACAGAAACACAATTGACTTTTTTGGGCCAGCCAAGTCAGGACGGGAACACGTGGCAAACGGTTTCCTGTGGTTCCTTGCGCCTACCCTGTAGTTTGTTTTGAGCACCTTTGACACGGCCAGCATTTGGCTGGTGTCCTTTGGAACTTCGGATTAACCCGGAGGACCCTACTAGTGAAAGCACCCCCCCAAAAAAATAATAGAACGTGTCTCTTTTTTTTTGGAGCCCCTGATTAGTGTGGTCCGGACCAATCCGAAGTCGACATTACAAAGGTTCTTTCAGGGTTCCTCCATTTTCTTTTTTGTATTATGAATGCCTGTACCCCCCCCCCCCTACCCCCCCCCCTTTTAAGGTAGTTAGGAGGGTGGCTAGGAAGTGGATATAGCAACGTTTTCCCTATAAGACTTCCTAAGCTGAACCTGAGAGACCCCTTGATTTTGATCGGACATTCGAGCTGCGTTACTTTGCTGCGTCCCCCTAACCTAGGGAAATCATAGGAGATTCAAATGTTTTTTTCTGAAAGTGCTGCGTCCCCCTAAGCTTTCCGCAAACATGCTTCCCCAAGCAGACCGTACGGCTTTGTCTAGGGCTTCTCTAAGGTTTCCAGCTTTTCTAAGGCTTCCCTAAGGCTTCCCTAAGGCCTCCCTAAGGCTTCCCTAAGGCTTCCTTAAGGCTTCCCCAAGGCTTCCGTGAGGCTTCCCAAGGCTTCTTTAACCAAATTTGCAGGTTCCGTATTTCTTGTCAGTGTTCCCGCCATGCAGGGCGAATGTCAGGCCAAGCTTCCCCAAGGCGTCCCCAAGGCTTCCGCAAGGCTTCCGCAAGGCTTCCGCAAGGCTTCCTAAGCCTCCCCTGCAAGAGAAGCCCTTTAAGCTTAAAGGGGGGGGGTGGTAAAGGAGGGGGGGGTACGGGCTCCATAATTGTAACTTCCAAGTGTGCCAGTTTCAATGGAAACCAAGAAAACAGCTTGCAACTTTCGAAGGGACATCCAGTGACCCCTGTCTCTTTGCGCAGTCAGCATGTATTCAGAAATTTGGTTTGTTTTCTTTGGCCGCCCCCTGGCTCAATCGTCGAGAGTTTTTTGTTTTCTTTTTCAGCCGAGGACATGTACCGTGTGATTTTCCACCCGCAGATGGTGAGCGTCTGCGAGAAGGTGAACTACGCCGCACCTCGGGGATTTTAAATCTGTTTGTTTCTCACGCGGTGTCCGATGTTTCCGCATTTTTGGTGGTTGCAGCTGGTAAGCTTGAACCTTTTCTTGGTTTGGGGCGATGTGAAACTGAGATTCCTTTTGGAGATGTTTAAATAAATGTTGCGAAGCTGGCACGGCTCCTTACAAGTCTCGAAATACAGTCCCTTTGGGTTTCAATTCTGGTCTCCCCTGTTTATTCCTACCTATGTTTATACCTATGTGCAGGAATTGATTATCAAGTGGAAGCGCTTTGTTGCGTGTGGGGGTAAGTTTTGGACGCGCCGGCACTACATTCGTAATTGGAAGCAACATAAATGGATTTGCAGTATCTGGGCTCGATGTTGAAGCTGAGCAGGGAATGGCCCCATGTTGTGAGCCGCCGGTCGAAGTCGGAAGTACCAGCTGAGCCCGTTGGGGGTCCCCAAGCAAGGCAGGTGGTTTTTGGACCTATCCTTGAGAAACCTTGAGGGAACCATGCGTATCTTTGGTTTCTTGAATCTGCAAATGCACAGGATACCACGGCGTATGTTCGTACCAGAGGGTTCACCTTGTCACGCAAAGGGCGTCCTGGCGCACACGCGTCTTAACTGATACCTGGAAGCTTGATGGATTGGATGGGGGAATTTAATTGAATCATGGAGCCTGGACTTGCACATGTCCATTTGCCGACTATATCCCCAGGAGTTGAATCCTGTTGGCATGTGTGTTGGGTCAAACGTACTTTGGAGGGATCTCACTCATACGTGTGCTAACCTGGTGGATCAATCTATTGGGTGACCATGGCATGCTTAAAGCAACTGGCTGTCCTTGGTGCAAGCTGCAACCCCTTCGTCACCCCCTTTAGGGTCTCCGAAAATGTAGCCCAAATTGCTCGTTTCTGTTTGGTTTTTGTGGGGGCTCAAAGCTCGCAGCTTCACAAACCAGAAGAAACCTCTCCCGGTTTAGAGCAAAAGCGCTTCACGACCAAATGAGACAAAGTCAGGCCCTACTGTGGATGAAGGAACTCCTGCACCACCTAATAACGTAGTAAAACCCTGAAATGTTGATTCTCCTGTAAATGCCAACAAACAATGGTGTCTCATGGTTTCTTAGGTGGTGCAGGATTTCGTCCATCCACAGTATGGCCATAGCTTTGGGCTTGGCCGTCTTTGTTTGAGGTAGGCGCCCCTTTCTGCAGAGAGCCCGCGGTGGCCATCTACGCCAATCTGGCGAAGCCAGCAGGCCAGCGGCCCAGCCGAAACCCACCGAAGAGATCAACACCTGTGGGAAGATTTCGGCGGTGGCGGGATTTGGTTGGATTTGTTGGGTGTGGTTTGGTGCGCTTCGAAACAACAGCAGCAAACCTGTTGCAAGGGGAACCCCAGTAAGACTTTGTTTTTTTTGCCGATATTTATGGCGGTTGGAGGTTGTTGACTTGCAACATGTGGGGCATGCACCATACCACACCTAGTTCAGTTCTTGGGAAGTTAGGTTTGTGGTCACTCGCACCAGCAAAGGGTGTACCCACGATAGAACGAGCATGGCGCGTAGTAGCGTAGCCAGGTCCCCTAAAAGGAGATACCTCTATACATGATGGCTGTTCAGGTTCCAAGTCACCCTGCATGAAAGCATGTTTGTGCAGGGCTCCTTAAAAGAAATTCATTTTGCCCATGAGAAACATGCATTTTTCCAACAAAATAAAGGGAAACCAGCATGTACAAGGCAATGTTCAGGTGTATACTGTAAGGATCCCTGTTTGAGTGCAAGGCGGGCAAAAGCAATGCACCCAGAACTCAGAAAGGCCTCGGTACGCCTCAGCCAGGAATTTGGGAAAGCATGAATGAGATTGCAACATCGACGCCAGGTGTCCATAGTGGGAACGGGAAAAACAGCTTCCGCGGGTGGGGAAAGAAACGAGAGGCGTAGACGACTGCTTCGATGTGCGGATTTTCGTGGAGGCGGTTGCTGGGCAGTTCCGAGTGCTGTACCTTTTTACCGTGGCTTGGCTGAAGCCTGGCACTGGTTGCTTATCTCGCTTCCTGAGTTCATGGACTTGAAACTTTTTGGGAAGACCATTTTAGTGCAAAAACAAAAAGTTTGGACCTTTGCTGACCAATCCACTCAGGAAGTGATACTGGCTGGTAGTTTGTACGCTCCCACGCTTTTCTTCACATGGAACCTGACGTTCGCGACCCGGTCCCTTTAAAAGGAAATGGGTCTTCCACAATCCCCCGAACGTCGGGTTCCATGTTCATTGGTGGGAGGGTAATTTGCCCCAGGGGAAACTAAAAGGTGGTGGGCAATTGCTACGTTTTTTGCGAACCGATGCTTCCATTTGCTTAAGAGTATGTTATTTTTCCTTGTTGGTTTTACAGGGAATCTATTAGACCTATTGTTGTGATTTTCACGACCGGCTTAAGCAAATGGACGTAGTAGCAGAGGGAAAAACAGGGGCTTCACTATCCCACCAGCCTACAAAGCGGTTGGGCTCCCCAGGATGGGCAGGGGTCATAATAAACGGACGCCTTTTTGGAAACCCTTTTACGGTTGTCCAGTGGATCCCATTTGCCAAAGGAGGAAATCAACCATGTTTCCTTTTGGTTCTTAAAGGGGGGGGCCCATGGTTACCTACTACTAAATGGGTAGGTAAATGCATCACTGGTTCGGTTTAGCTTGCCATACGACAAGGCAGCAGACTAATTGTGGCAAAAGCCATGGTTTTTTGCGGACCGCATCTCAAGGCGCCCAACACCAGTTGTCCTCAGGATTCATTTGGTGTTGTTGACCCCATGTTAGTCAACCCCAGCCCAGGTTCTTAAAGGGGGGGTGTCCACCTAGTGGGGAATCGGACCACTTTTGGAGGGGCCCCCAAAAATGGTTATAAGGTTGGTTCTAGGGTGGGGTATTTTCAGTTCAGGGTTTCAGGGGCAGGGTTCATTTTCAACAAGCAAACCATTTTGTCCAAAACCTAAAGGTTGATTGTGGGGAATTTTCCTAAATTTTCTCAACATTGTTTTACAATTTTTTCATTATGAAACAGTCTAAGATTTCATCATTTTCAAGGTTCGGGTTTCAGTCAATTTTTAAGCTTTCTGGGGGATACATGTGTTTAATCATATTATAAGTTGTTAATATGAATAAACCATTAATATTGCTTAGGGTTTCCGCCTGTCAGGCGTAAAACGGACTTTGTCCGGTTTCCAATTGCTAAAATCAGTATAAATACCAATGTTTTCACCAATCTCATTCCACCACTGTTCTATTTTTCTTGACCAGCTTAATACTGTTTCTTTGTCAATATGTTTGTTTCTTTTCTTATGCTTCTCATAATTAAACCGAATGATTGCTTGAAGAATTAGAAAATTTGTTCTCCTAAAAAAGAATTTCATATCTTCAATGTTTTTACAACCTGTGAATGCTATATTGTTTAACTCTGCTCCATATTCAATTACTTTTCCTTCATCATATAATTCATTGTAAGTCTTCATTAACAAATCACGATGATAACATTGTATTAATGGCTTTTCTGGATAACCCAATTCTTTCATTGTTTCAATTACATTGTTCATTTCTTCATAGGATGGATATGGATTTAACTTAATGAACCTTTTAACTTCATCACTTTCTTTTTGTCTTTTCTCCATCAACTTCTCTACATTTTCTGTGGTTAATACTGTCATACCTTCCATTGCTCTTATTATATTAAGGTCTTGTTTCTTTAAGTATATATATTTGACTTTAAGGTAGTTTAATAATATTATAAGATAATAATATGAATAAACTTAATCATAATCACTATCAACAGTACCCATATAATTAAACCAGTCAATAATAAGCCTTTTCTTTTCTAACAAATGACAGACGAATTTATGATAAAACTTATTATCAAAAATGTTTTTATAAACGACTTTGTCTTTGTTTTCTATATATTGCCATTTCAACATTTTAAGAAAATCTCTACACATTGAAATGCTAATTTTTTTACAAGATACATAACCATCATTATTATGAAAAAGTAAATTATAATGAAATTGAGTAGCGGTTCCATAATGCAAGATTAGTCTATTGTCATATCCATACTCTTTTAATGCTTTGTCTAAACCAGTTGTAAATATTGTCCGTAATGATTTTTTCGTTGGACATTTATTTAACCTCGTCATATACCAAATCCACTTATCCATTTCTTCTAAATTGTCAGGTTCGTTTTTCATTAAATGTTTTGTAATGGTGCATCTTTTACAACATACAAAACTCAAAATATTATCAATGATACAGTCAGGAAATATGTCATTTGCTTTTTTGACTTTGTTGTTGTATATCTTACAACCACGGCATTTTACAATTTCTTTTGTCAATTCTTCTCTGATACACTTATTCATTTTTTCTTAATATATTAAGGGGCCATTTCTTTAAGTAGTTTTATTTTTTCTTCTTGCCTCTGCTACTTTTTGTGTCAGCGCTTTCTGGGCTTCTGCTCCTGCTTCTTGTTTCCATTTGTTCCCTCGTCCATTCACTACCTCTTGCTATTTCTTGGGGTGAGTTGCTCCTGCTTCTTGTTTCTAATTGTCTTCTGTTCATTTGATTACCTCTTGCTCTTTCTTCTGGTGAGTGGCTTCTGCTTCTCGCTTCTACCTGTCGTCTTGACCAGAAAGAAGCCCTCGGTTGTTCTTCTTCTTGTTCTCGCGATTGTTCTGATGAAGTGGATGACTTCTTATCTCGTTGGAATAGTTCAAATACGCTCTTGTCTTCTCCACCTAAAAATATGTTTCTTAACGATTTTATTTCTCGGCTTTCCTCTTTCTTATCTTTTTCGGTTGATGCTGATGACGATGATGATGTTAAATGAAGACTTTGTAAATCTTCCTGCTTTTCATCTTTTGGTTCATCTTTTGGTTCATCTTTTGGTTCATCTTTTGGTCCTGAAGTTGCATTACTATAAATTTCATCAGTAAAATCTTTTGCTATATATCGTGTTGTTTGTGCGTCTGCTTCGTTGTTTTCATAAAACTGTGATGTTGGCGCTACTTCATCAAACATATCAGGGAACAATTCATGTTGAAGAACTTGTTTATCAGTTTGAACCCTAGCATTCAATCGTAGTCTCCTATCGTATTTTGAAAGGTCAAAATCATCAAAGTCTATATTATTAATTGATTTGTCAAATGTCTGTCTTTCAGGGATAATTTCAATGTTTAATCTGTGTGTCATCGCTTCTTTCAGCATTTCATCAAATGTAGGGCGTCGGCGTAATCCATAATATTTATCAGTCATATTAAATATTATAGATTATTTATTGTTGGGTTGCTTTATGGACGAAGTATTTATTATAAACATTGTCCTCATAATATTTTTGTAGTTTAACCTTCACTGCGTTTCTATCTACTCCTGTTGTATTGTTATATTCATCTAATAATTCTTTGAACTCATCATATTTAACAGCGTTAATTACATTGAATTGATGTAGTTTTGAAATTATACTATCCATTAAACTTCTTGGATTTTTTGCTAAATATACCGGCCACATCCACTTTATACCACTTAAATAATTTTTGAAAATTCGTTCATCATCAACATCTTCATTTTCAACATTTTGTAATTCCATTTCGTTTGCTTGTTCTTGCATTTCCATTATCTCAGCATTAGTAATGGTTGTTTGAGCGTCATCGTCATCATCCTTACCTTTTTTCAATGCTTCTAATTCAACTACAGGGTCGTTTTCATGTTCATCTTCTTCTTCCCCTTCCTCTAATGGTTCTAATTCTGGCATTTCATCAGCGGACACCATTGAATGAATTTCTACACCTTCTGGTATTGATTGTTTTGACACAGCACTTGCCATTTCATCGTGTTGTTCTCTCCAAAGTCTCATTTTTTCAGCAAGTTCTTCTTTCTGTTTGTTTGCTTCCGCCAATCTTTCATTAATGAAAGACTGCTGTTGTTTCAGTGTGTCATCAAGTTTAGCTCTTACACTACCACCGTCCGACGACGCCTCTTTCATAACTTCTTCTCTTCTGTTCAGTTCTTGTTTCTTCTGAATATCCAAAGCATCTTTATTATCAAACTGACTACCGTATTGATTTAATCTGTATCTGGTTGCTTTTCTGTCTATTACATTTTCAATTGATGGACGGTTCTCATCTCCTACTAATGTTTCTTTCAATAGTTCATCATAAGAAGGTCTCAAATGTAATTGTGATTTCAATGACCCTACTTTTACCGGTCCTACTGTATTCAATCTATTCATTGATTTAATCATAGTATATTAATTATTTAGAAAAATAAATTAATCAGAGATATTCTTAATCATTTCTTCTAAATGTTTCTTTCTTACAGTTAGTTGTTCCTTTGTTTGTATTCCATCTGGTGTCCGTGTGTTGTCTAATATGTTTCTTATTCTGTCTAACTCTTTTCTATAACTTTCGGTTCTGTTGCTTTCAACTAAATCGTTTCTATACTTTATTAATGCTCCTTGTGATTGTTTCGCTTCCAGTGTGTCCTTCAACTGTTTAAAGTAATTCATACGCGAGGCAACTCCCCATAAATCTGAAACGTCATAATGACGTTCTACTTGTGGCGCCCTTTTAAATTCTACATTTCTATGACTTCTCATAAGCATAATTGTTATATATATAATAATTAGATTATTATTTAAAACATTGATAAAGTTAATTTATTTATTTTATCTGATTTATCTTGTTTTTTCTTTTGTTGCAGTTCTTCGTAATGTTGATTTAATAGTTCTGTTGCTGTGGGTTTCTTAATGGTTTCTTTAATCACTTCTTGTTTTATTTCATTCTTAATCTCTTCTTTCACTTCTGGTTGAATTCTTCTAATATTCTTTTGTGGATTGACTGGTAATAATTCAGTAGGAACACCCTTACAATTCTTAGGATGTGAAAAACGAAGTGATTTAGCATTCATAGATTTACCGCATTTATCACATTGGACTACTTCAATTTCTTTCTTTGTTCTTGGTAATGCTTTTGCTTTTGCTTTT